CAAGAATAATGGAGGAAATATGAATCAATTTGCAAAGTCCACTTTGAATATAATATAATATATATATTGAGCATATTATATAATTAAAATAGAAATCAAATTATATATTTGGGTAAATTATTGTCAACTTTAATAATATATAGATTTAGAAGTCATATTATTTTATGGTAATTGAAGTCTGATTTGACAACAATTGGTAAGAAATTTTATATAATTAAAGTATTGTTAAAATATAGTAAGATATAGTTGAATTTAAATTTGAACTATTATATAATTAAAGTTGTTAAACCAATTTGAAATTGAAATATAAAAAGGGAAGTTATGGGTTTATGTTTTTTTTTTTGCCTAATTAATTTGTGAAATCAAATTAAAATGTTGGTAATTAAAATTATAATTACATTTATAATTATTTATTGAAGAATTTAAAAGGTAAATTGAGTATTTATTTAATATTTTAGAGGGATTTTGAAAGGCTCATTAACTATTTATTCAAGATTTATTAAAGATTTTGAAAGTTCTATTGGATTTTTATTTTGGATTTATTAAAAATTTTAACAACTATTATAATATGGTAAAAAAAATTAAGTTTGGAATTTAAAAAGTCATTAATTAATTATTTAATTTTTATTTAAGATTTTAAAATGTCCATTCAACATTTATTAGACCCACTAGGTAATTATTTAGTATTTATTACAGATTTTAAAAGGTCTATTGAGTATTTATTTGTGATTTATAACAATTTTTATAATATAATAAAAAATAATAAAATCGTAGTGTAATTCTTAAAAGTCCTATATATAATATATAGTTATTAAAGGGTAGATCCAAATTTTATTAGAATTTGAATTAAAGTTTAGTAATATATTATTTAAATTGAAATATTAGATTCTTAACTCTAAGATATGCTTTAAACTCTTAAAAGAGGCCTATTAGATATTTATTTGAGACTTTATAAGTATTTTTAAGAAATTTATTGAAGATTTTAAAAGAGTTATTGGATATTTGTTCAAAATTTATTGATGATTTTAATCATTTTTATAATATATATAGTAAGATAGTAAGATATTAAATAGAATGATGTAGAAGCAAAATAAAAATTTTCATTGTTCTCATTGTACATGCTTTTGTATGCTTATTGACTAGGATTAATTACATTGCTATGATAAGTCTCCAAGCCCAAGCATAGATCCAATACCTAACTACTGCCTGGAAAGCATGTACAATGGGAGTTCTCTTATATTGCTCTTTTCTAAAAATAAAACAGAGATAGAACATGTCTACCATTGGAGAAAACTCAGAGACCATGTAGAGAAACAAGCTTGGTCAAATTCTTTTGGCCAAAAAGACCAAAATAACATCATTTTGTCCCCTTTTGGGTCAAAAAGTTTGACCACCTAACAGACATGTCAGCAAATGTCAAGTTGTGGCAGGTATGTCTGCGCATGCCAACCACTTCCTCACACAGCTATTGAATTCAAATCCAACAGCTGAGATCTTCTTTTTAAAAGTTTTTTAATTAAAAATATTTATTTAAATATATAAAATTTGGATATAATAAAATAATAATTATATAATTTTTAAGAAAACTTTGTTTATAAATGTCTCAAAAGGGAAATTCTACCATATAACGAGGATATTAACTAATGTGATATTACTATTAAATAATATAAAATCTAAATACCCTGAGGAATAGTTAAAGCTTTAATTTTTTTTTGGGAACAATTAGTTAAATTTAATTTGATCTTTTATAAGAAGAAAAGTCTTTTAAGATTATGTAATTTATTTAGAATTCAAATTTTATTTTATTAAATTTTTAATTTAAATTCATAATTAATTTTGTTATATTATCATTTTAAATTTTAAATTAATAAATTAATAAAACTCATATGAAATCTGTTGTTGTCACAAAAAAGAAAAAAGTGAAACCTATCCTACTTTTAAAAATTGGGAAGAATTTATTAAAATTTACTCAATTTTTTATAAAATAAAAAATAAATAAATCAACTAATTAAAATTTAGGACAAAATCCCTAGCGTAGCGAGACGGATCACAATAGAAATAAAATTAACATGTGTGCTAATAAAATTCAAGAGTTAAATTTTTTTAGTAAATAAGTATTTTTTAAGCAAAATTTAATCCTTGGAGTCAACAATTTATTCTTAAAATTGTTTAAAAAATTAGTTGATATATTAATTTAAAAGTACATAAAACTATTTAAGTGCGCCATGATGGGGCAAAAAAACTAATTAATAAGCAGCCAAACTTATATGGTTTTATTATACAAGGAGTCCAATTTTTAATTTTTCTAATCAAGTAGTTGAACTTTGCATTTTTACCATCGAGGGAGTATTTGGACGGTAAATGGTGATGTGGCTAACAAAGATAGTTACTCGGTTTGTAGATGAAACTTTGTGTTGAGATGGCAAAATAATTTGCTGACTGAACATCTTATGAGAAAAAATATTTTACCAAAAAAAAAAATACACTGTAAAAGTTAATGGTAAAAAAGGTAAAATGAAAACTAGCAATTATATTAGCACAGAAGATTCATAGATTTCGTGCAAGTTAGGGAATCAAATCCCTAATGACTATATCTTGAGTTTTTCTTGAAAGAGAGACACCATCTTCATGATTTGTAAAGGAGTATTCCATTGATTTCTGTTGCAAAAGTAGTTAATGAGTAGCCGAACTTTTCTTGTTTTACTCTACAAGGAGTCCAACTATTAATTTTCTTAATCAAGTAGTTATTCTTTACATTTTTACTATCCAAGGAGTCATTGGATGGTAAACGGTGACATGGCAAATGGAGATGGGTAATAGATTCTACACTTGGATGACATGTTAAATAACTCAAATCTACGTAGAGATGGCAAAAAAAATTTTACACGTTGGATTGAAAAAGTAGTAAAGATTGGTTATGATCTAAACAATATGGGTATTCTATTTCTTTGCTTGAGATCATCTGGGTAGAACAAGAAAACTTGTGTTTCATTTGCATGAAAAAAGGAAATGGCTATTATAAAGAAACCTAATTCAAATCGAAAGGAAATCTAGAATTTCAAATTTTACGAAAAATAACGATATAGTTCAGTACAAATTTGGACAAGCTATCAAAAGACCATATCTTAGAAGCCAAAGAGTTAAATAAAAACTTCTTATTCCAAGTCACAAAAAATATAAAAAATTTCCTGTCATAGATCTAACTGTTACCAGTGGCCTAAACTGATTTAATTAAAAAAAAAGTAAAATAATTACTCATTTCTAGCACTTTGACTGCCTTGTGTTAGGAAAACTACAATGGTAGAAGAATTTGGTCCAGCTAGAGAGGAAGTTGATCCAATCTGTGAACCATGTTCTCCTTTCTTTTGTTTCTTTTGGCTGGCACTAGTAGAATCCTAACAAAAAAAAAAAAAAAAAAAAAACAAATAAGGGAAGAAATAGAGTAAGCATAAAATTAAATAAGGATTTAATGGACAAATAACTATATTGGTATTATGTAGGAAAAGGAAAAATGCAGCAAATAGATATGTATAATGTGATCAAACATAAAATTTAAAAAGGGATTAAGTAGATAAGTAACTAAATTGGTATTAACTTTGTTAATTATTATTACCTTTTTGTCACTCCTCTTTTTGCCTTGTTTAGTAGATGGACCACAAAATGCCTCTTTGACATTGAAAATGACCCTTGGTTGTGGAGAAGGTGCATTTGACGATTTCTTAGCTTTAGGAACTTTTTGCATCATGGCCAAACAATATATATATATATATATATATATCAACGACATTTCTAAATTATCAAAGAAAATAAATATATGAATAATGCATACTTTACCTTTAGTAACTCTGACTCGAAGTTAGGATCATTATTGTGATGGCAAACCTTCATGTTATACCCTTGCCACCCACACTAACTACAAGTCATTTTGACTCCATTTCTTGATAGGTTTTCAACCTATCCTTTTTTGGATTTTTTAGGTTCATCCTTGGACTTGATTCTGTTAACTCTTGGCCTACCTTTGAGCTTCTTAAATGGTGGTGGTTGCAACTTTTCTCCCTTGTGCAAATTCAATAGGGTATTTGTGTGCTTCAATATATGTAGTCCTCTTGTACAAATGTGCTACTTCATCTTTGAAGTTCAAGTTCTAGGAGCACATGGTAGCAATGGCATGACTACAAGGAATTTTTATTAAAGTCCAACCTTTCCATGTGTATTCCTTTCTTTGCAAATTCACGACATGCCTTTGATCATCCTCAATGATCTCATACCCACCATTCCCATTCTCTTCAATAGTCCAAGTAGTTGCTCCCTCAACATCATGTTTTAAAATTATTACAATCCTTGGTGCAATTTCCCCTTCCCATGATATAGCAAAGGCTATTTTCATCCTAATTCTCTCCATAACTATATGTCTAATTTCCTCTAATATGGTTATAATCGCTTTACACCTAGCTTCTAATATCCATGAATTAAATGTCTCAGACAAGTTATTGTCCACCATATCACATTTTGAGGTGAATTCCAAGAATGTCTTACACCAAAACTTACCCTCTAAGTTAGAAATTGCATTAAACCCTTCTGGAGTAAGCTTAGCTAGTCTATAAAAGTTCTTCTCCAATTGATTAAGGAAAGTTGACTTCACACATACCCAAAAAGCAGCCTTCAACTCTTATCCTTTAAATGACTTTCCCCATTTATTGTACAAGTGCCACACACAGTACCAACGCCAAGCTTCTAGTAGATAGCACTTAACAAAAGGTAAAATGGCCTATAAAACACACTTGATGTTAATGTCAATAAATGGAAATAATATGAAAAATGGAAATAATATGGGCAAAGAAATAATATTCTTTAGCAGTAAAGTTGTAATATCCCAAAATTTTGGGGTATTTTAGCATTAAATTGAGGACTTATTTGAGGAAAAATATTATTTAGGGGCTTAATCGCAAACTTTTTAAAAGTTAAGGGACTAAAAAGAAAGGAAATTAGGATAAGGATCAAGGCTGATATTTCTCTCCTCAGCCACGTGTTTTGCTCTTCCTCATCTTCTTCTTCTTCCCGACTCTTCCCCCTGAAGCTCCCCCTAAGCCATCGACTTCTTCCTCCTTTGAAAACCGGTAGAAGACTTGAAATTTCTTCTTTCCTTCTTGTTCAAGAACTGATTTGGGGCTTAGAATCTTCCCTCTCAACCCAGAAATCCGGATCTGCTCTGCTTCTTCCTCCCTTGTCCGTCGAGTTCTGCTGGGTTTGAATCCTTCGGCTTTTTCTGGTAAGATTTAGCCATGAATTCATCTATTTAGCTTT